GGCAGCGGGCCTGGGACCCAGGGCCGTCTCCCTGTCCACGCACTGGGTGCCCCGGCTGCACGAGGCCTGCCCTGCCCTGAGGACTCACCCTTGGAACTCCTCTTCCTGCGGATGGAGGCTCGGACAAGGTCAGAGCCGAGGTGGGCATGGTGGTGCCGCTGGGCGCGTGCTTCCTGGAACCAATCCCCCGTCAGGACTTTCAGCTGCCCAGGGTCTGCCAGGGAAGCCCGGAGCTTGCTGGAGGATTGGGGAGGAGGAGGGTGGCTGTTACCATTCGTCCAGCCAACATTCCTGCCACCCACTCTGTGCCAGGCCCTCTACCTGGGGCCAGGGACACAGGCTGCTGGGGACACTGAGTCCAGAATAGACAGTACGTTACAGTGCGGCGGTGCCATGATGGGTATAAGAAGGGCCAGTTTTGCCTGTGGGAATTCAGGAGGCAGCCTCTTAAAGGACTAATTGGATTTCTTCAGGTAGCAAAGGAGAATTTATTCATTAAAGTGACTACTGTGCAGAATCCCTCCTAATTTTATAAGGTGGGATTCCTTAGCCCCGCTTTACAGATGAGAAGTCAGGTGAATTGCCCAAGGTTACATAGCCAGGAGGCGTCTGTCCGCAGCACTCCTTGTAAGTCCTGTGCTCCTCTGCCAGGGGGCCCTTCCAGGAAGAGGGAACGGGAGGTGGGTGTGGCCGGGGACGGAGGACCCTGAATGGCTCTAATGGACACTGTGCCAGGGGGAGGAGATGGGGGAGGCCAGCAGGTACCAGTCAGGAAGGCCTGTGGACCGCGCTTAGAGTTTGCCCCTGTCACATGATGCTGAGGAGCCAGGGGAGGGTTCAGCCAGGCATAGTAAGGACAGCTCTGAGCCCCGCACCCCGCCCTACCTCACCTGACGCGCCCCGCCTCCAGCTGCCGCAGGTGGGCATCGCGCTTCAGGACGTCGGCAATGGCCTCCTGCTCCTCCTCGGTCAGGAAGCTGAGGTCCAGCAGCCCGTCGGCCTCGGGCTCTGGCTCACGCGCCATGAGGAGGTGAGCTGGGGCCCAGAGCCCCTCTTGGGATGGGTGGCCCCTCTGAGGCATCAGCTGGGGCAGTGCCCCCACTGGGCACACATGGCTCCCTGGGGACAGACTTGGGGTCAGGCCAAGCCCTGCCCAAATATAGGGCACACCCTGGAATGGACTGCCTCTATCTGCCCCAAATATATTCTAGGTGGTGGGCAGGGTACAGCCCAGGACGGCTGAGGTCCAGGTGGCAGGGGATACACCCATGGATGCATGCGTACACTGGGACACACTTGAAGATATATACAGGGACACATGCATACACCCTGACGCATGTAAATACAACTGTCCACACTGAGATGTACACCAGTCACACACACACACTGGTGCCTGTATAAGGACAGGCACGCACACACCTGTTACCCCATGAAGGGCCCTGTGTAGTCATGCCCAAACCAAGAGAGGAATCTAGCATGGCTTTAAACCCGCACACGGGCCCACGCCCGCGAAGGGAGGCAGGACGCACAGGGCGGGCTGACCTGTGCAAGAATAAGTCCTGGGACAGACTTGTCCCTAGATACCCACAAACCACACAGACTTCTGCACACACAGCGCTCCCCCGACTAGACTGTGAGCTCCTTGGAGGTAGGGCCAGGCCTTCACCCCCAAAGCCAGTGCTTTGCACACAACAGATGGTTGGGAAACGTTTGATGAATTGAAGGCAGCACTACACTTGCACACACCTGGGGAATGAACACACACAGGCACACACACTCTGCTCAGCCCCTCTGCTGGAACCTCCTAATGTGGGTCCCCTCCCGCCACCCTTCACCTCCACCCTCCACCCTGCCCCGGCCCATGGGTCTTCCTGTCTGAGGCAACCTCCTCCCCAGCCCGCACCCCCAACTTCCTCCCCCTCCTTCCCTCGCACCGAGGTAATGGCCACACCCACCCACTCCCACAGACCAGGAGTGCCCCAGTTGCCAGCCCTGCCCTCTTCTCCAGCCCCCCTGAGCTCCTGGCTCTGGCCACGTGGGTCCCTCACCCTCCCTGACGCAGGACTTGGCTAGGGTCCCAGTGGTGGTGGCCAAGTGCTGGCAAAGCAGCTCCAGCTGCTCAGTTGGAATGGTGACCCCGGAAGCTAAACATTTGCTCAGCCCTGAGGGGCGTGTGTGGGTGCGTGGACATGGCAAGGGGCCCGTGGCTGGGCCACGAGTAGAGCATGGCCCTGGGCTGAGCCCACCGGGTGGTGTCTCCCATCTGCCTGTCCCTGCCATGCCATGCCAGGCCACCGGGCTGGGCTGCTCGGGAAGGCAGGTCCTGGCTTGTGCCTGCTGCCTGCGCCCTGTGCCCTCCCGGCTGAATCAGTGTCCAAGCCCAAGCGAGCCCTCTCCCCTCCGCACCACCCTCACGGGGAGCCTGGGGTCCCTGCGTGTCCCCATCAGGCATATGTATGGCCCGTGTGGATGCCTGTATGCTCCATGTTAACACCAGCTCCTGCACATCTACTGGAGTGGGTGTTGCAAACGCATGGTTTGGGGCTCTCTGTGGCTGCTGGGTGAGCCCATGGTGACTGTTCTGACAGTCGGTCCAGCAGGCATGTCTGGGGCCTGAGGATCTAGAGGACTGTATATCGTGCTGGTGTGAATATATCACGGCCTGTGTGTCATGTCATGGCGGGATGGTGACTGGTGACTGTTGTCTGTGTGGTGTGCTCAGTGACTCTCTGGGTGATAGTGTTGCTTGGCGTGTGCACTCTGTATTTCCTAGTGCTGTATGTGTAACTGAGGTGTGAGTTGTATTGTGTACTCTGGTACCCCCAGGGCTACCAGGTGTGTGTGTGTGTGTGTGTGTACGTGTGCGCATGTCTATGGAGGTGAGAGGACATTCTGTAAAACTGACCCTGCTCTTGTCCCACAGGCCTGCCTGGGGCTGGGCAGTGTGCACCTGAGCCCAGAGTCCCAGCAGCACAGACCCTCCTGCTGTCCCCACTCCTTCCAGAGGCAGAAGCAAGAGTCTGGTCCTTCCTGCTCTGTTTCAACACGATGGGACAGATCCATCGGTCAGTGCAAGGGTGTCTCCATCTGTCTGGCTGCTGCAGTCTCCCACACACTCCTGCACCAGCGCACCCCCCACCCCCGCCCGCGAGGCCCCAGAGGGTGCTCAGGATACCAGGTGGCAGTGCCTGCCCTTGGGACACTGGCAGGGGACCCCGTCCTGAGCAGGTTACCTGTAGGGATCCAGTATGGAGGGGGCACCTTCGTAAGTGGCCCCAGCGCCCCTGGCAGCCGAGTTTCAGGGACCAGGAGAAGAGCAGTGAGGGACTAAGGCTGACTCAACCGCAGCTCAGCGAGAAGCTGCCCCATCGGAGGAGGAAACACCTCCTCGGGAGGGCCTGACGCAAAACCGGGCCTGGATTCCGGTTCCCCAGGGGTGTGCCCCAGTCTCTGCTTTCAGAAAACCCAGAGCCGGTTTGCTGGGCAGGAGAAAGCTGGATCTTGGCCCCAGTTCCACTGCCAGCCTACCTGTCACTCCTGCCAGCCTTGGGCCTTGGCTGCCCCCACCTGTAGAATAAGAGCAGCCGCCTCCTACCCGCTGAGGAGCTGATAGGAACTTGCTTTGAAAGCAAAGTTAGAAGCCTTTCTAAGAACCAGGGCACGAAAGGATTGCCCACTGGTCAGACAGCCCTGAGTAGCTTCTGCTCTGCCACTCTGTGACTCTGAGCAGGTCTCGCAGCCATACTGAGCTGCAGTTTCCTCCAATGCAAGCTGGGCAGCAGAGTGCAAAGAGCCTATTATAAGGGGAATGAAAGCGCCTGGCACAAGCTGGCATAGAGTGGGTACCAGGTGCTCCCTTCTCACAGCCACTGCCCCTCTGTGTCCACATAGCCTCCTGGAAGTGCTGGCCACAGCAGCGAAGCTCCCACACCCTCCCTTCCTGGGGACTCCCTCTGGGCATCCGATTTTGCTCAGAGTCTGCCCCACCCTGAGATTGGCGTCGGGCCCTAGATTACGTTTACTGTAAGACCATGGACCAAGGCCACACGAAAGCTTTGAGACCCCACAAGTCTGTTTCACCCCCCTCTGCCTGTCGTGCTGTATTCCCCTTCTGGGTATGGACTAAAGGACCAGACCTCAAGAGAGGAGGTGGGGCAGGGAGAAGACTAAATGACACTCCTTTCCTCCCTCATCAGTCATGTGATCACCACTCTGAGCACCTGAGGGCCACTCATCTGCCCCAGCCCAAGGTCCATCCTTCCGCACCTTCTTGCAAATCAGTCTTATTTTCTGAGTCTCTTTTTACTTCTCTGTTAAATGGGGTAATCCCTTTATGGTTTTTACTACAATTCAATGAAATCCCTTCATAAATAAACATGCATGTACCATTGTCCCCAGAGCTTTACTACAGACTACTCCGTCCCTTCAGCACCCTGGCCATCTGTGCTCCCTCACCCCCCCACGCAGAACGCTCCCCCACTACTGTCCCCTGCTGTGGGTACGGGCTCAATGCCTACCGCTGTGGCCAGTTGGTTAGCGGCCCAATCCTTCGGAGAAACAGCCCCTCCCCAGGCCCCTCCTTGGGCTCCAGGGTGGCTCCAGGGGGGGCTGCAGACCATGCTGCTGGGTTTGAACATGGTGCTACTTGTCCTACCTCAGTTTACCTCTCTGCTTACTTCTTCATTGGTAAAATGGGGACGATACCCTGACCTCAAGGGCTTTATGACAAAGCGTGGCACATAGCCAGTACTCAGTAACTGTTGGGTGATTTTTAAAAATATATTTTTTTATTAAATTATGTGTACATATTTTAACATTACCCCCCCCATACATACCCTCCTTCCCCAGAGTTTTGTGTCCATTGGTTGTACTTATATGCATGTATACAAGTCCTTCGATTGAACTCTTTATCTCCCCCAGATCTCCCTACCCTCCCGGCTGTAATTTGACAGTCTGCTTGTTGCTTTACTGTCTTTATATCTGACTTTGGTTTGTCAGTTTATAATGTTCTTTAATATCCATAAATGAGTGAGGTCATGTGGTATTTCTTTCATTGACTGGCTTATTTCACTCAGCATGATGTTCTCTAGTTCTATCCAGGTTGCTGCAAATGATGAGAATTCCTTCTTTTTTATGGCAGCATAGTATTCCATTGTGTAGATGTACCATGGTTTTTGGATCCAATCATCTGCTGATGGGCACCTAGGCTGTTTCCAGATTCTAGCTATTGTAGATTGTGCTGCTATGAACATAGGGGTGCATATATTCTTTCTGATTGGTGTTTCTAGTTTCTTGGGAAATATTCCTAGGAGTGGGATTACTGGGTCAAATGGGAGTTCCATTTTCAGTTTTTTGAGGAACGATTTTCTTTTAAAAAATATATTTTATTTTATTTTACAGAGAGGAAGAGAAAGGTTAGAAATATCGATGAGAATCATCAATCAGCTGCCTCTTGCACACCCCCTACTGGAGATGTGCCCACAACCAAGGTACATGCCCATGACCAGAATCGAACCCGGGACCTTTCAGTCCGTAGGCTGATGCTCCACGAGCCAAACCGGTTTCAGCTGTTGGGCGATTTTCATGGCCCTTGTTTTTATGTCCTTTCTCTGCAAGGCTAATGGAAAATTCTGCTGGGCAGAAGCAGGCTTTGAAACATTTCCCTATTTTGCTGTGTTTTTTCTCTGTACCAGAACTCACCCTCTCATCCCTCCCCCCACCAACCAACTCTCAGATGGACCCCAATATGCAAGAAAGATTTCTGAAAATGGCATATTTCAGAAGTGGGGAAAACTTGGTGGAGAAACTTCAGGCTTGGAAGCCTCAGCACTGTGGGTCGGGGGTGAGCGGAGGCAGCTGGTCCAGGGCTGAGGGCCAGTCGCTAGAGCTGTCCCCGAAGCCGCTCTCAGGATGAACACAACGGGCTCGAGATCCAGAGACCAAACCCTTTACTAGTTCAACGAAGTGACACAGGGCGGAGGGCAAGGTCAGAAGACTCCTCCAAGGAAGTGACTTTTAAGCAGGGCTCGGGAAGCGAGGCCGGGACTTTTCCCGGGAAGCACAGGACTGCGTGGCGGAGGCTGGAGAGGAGGGCGTGTGGAGAGGAGAATGCAGGGCCCTGAAGGCCACAGAGGGAGGCAGTGGGACAGGACAGCACAAGGGACTGGCCATGGGACTGATGAACATGCAGGAGCCAAGGACTGGGGCTCTCTCGGCTTACCCCAAACCATAGACCCCTGGGCTGTGGTCTGCTCAGTCCTGACTCCCAATCCTATTGCCAGGTTCCTCCCTACAGGGAGGATGGGAAGGATTTCAGTGCTCATTGGCCTTGTAGAGAAAGCTTTGGGATGGTGGGAGAGGAACTCCCAGGGGCTGGGCCCAGGGCAGATACTGGGGATGCTCCGTCCAGTAAGCCAGACCCCTTGCCAGGGGCAGAGGCACCCAAAGAGATACGAGCTGAAGAAGTGAAGGGACCGTCGAAGGGAAAAAAACAAGGACACGGTACTTCCTGGAGTTTAAATTCTTTATTGTCCCGTCCAGGATCGGGGGGCAGAAAGGAGGGGGCAGCACAGGCCCTTCCCACAGTGCAGAGGGAGCCCTGGTGAGGAGGAAATGGCTCCCTCAGCTCCATGATGGCACTGGCTGCTCTGGCACATCTTGGACCCAAGGGCTGCCATTCCCAGAGTGAGGCCCACAGCTGGGGCCGGGGCCAGGCTTTGTTTCCACTGCTCTGGTCTGAGGGTGTCACTGGACACATCAGGCCCCGACTTGCTGAGGGGGATGGGCTCAGGTGGGAGATGGGCCCTGGGAGATGGGAGAGGGGAGAGGGGGGAAGGGGCTGCATGGTCTGCAGGACCCCAGGAGATGGGGTACAAACTATTCCCAGTGCAGCTTCTGGCCAAAGGGGGGCCATCCAGTCCTGCTGGACCATTCCAGAGGCCAGTGGAGAGGGCCCAGGGTGGCTTAGCTAGTGGAGACTTCCTAGTGTACAACACCCACCCCCGGATGGAGCCCTGGCAGAATAGGCTCCAAATCCAGCTCTGGCCCCCTCTGGAGGCTCCAAATGCCCTCCCCTCGCTTTCCCTCCTCCACCAGACACTGAGCTGAGGCAGCACAGGAGCAGCTACGGGGAGAAGTTTAAGTCTTTCCCACAGATGAACAGAGAGGGTGCCTCAAGCACAGGGAGGAGGTGCTCACCAGCCTGGGGAGGAGGCACAGGGAACTTCTGAGTGACCAGTGAGACACAATATGCAACTATCCCAGCCCTGCTCACCCTCAGCCTATTCCATCCCACCTAGCCCAGACTCCTGGGTCAAAACCAGCAGCAGGCCCATCCCTGCCTTTTGGGGAGAGGAAAAGAATCTGGAACCAAAAGGAGTGGCAGGTCCAGGGCCACGAGGCAGCCATCATCAAAGGTTAAAGACCAGGCTGGCAGCTAAGATGACGCCCAGGAGGAGGACGAAGGGTAGCCAGGTCTTCACGAAGGCCCCGACGCTGAGAGAGGAGGGGAGTATTGGTGGGAAGGGCCGGGTGAGTGAGGCCCATCCCTCCAAACCCGGGAGGGGCTGCTGTCCCTGAGGAAGCTCTCCCCCCTCTAATTTGGTCAACCGAGGGACTGGGCTGGGCCTGGCACCGCGATGGAGGAGTGCCAACTGCAGGCCCTGGCAGGAGATGCTCCAGGCTCCTAGTGGAGACGGGACACCTCCCTGGGTGGGTGACATGTGCCCACCTTTTCTAGAACTTATTGGTTCCATCCACAACCACCCCAGCCTCTGGGGAGAGGTCTCCAGTCAGAGGACTAGGCCCTTGTCTGGGCATGAAAGCCAGGAGCAGCGTCTGCACACAGCTCTCCTGATGGGCTCCCCCGAGAGGGGAGGAGTCAGCAAGAGTGAACAGAGCTGAGGCTGGAGTCAGGGCTCTGGGTACGCCCGGCTCTGCCTCGGTGTGTGCGAGGCCGCAGTTACACTTCTCAGGGGACCTCTGAAAGCCTCTGGGCTGGAGAAAGACTCCCAAGAGCCTCCTTCTCAGACACTCTTAATGAGGGCAGCGAGGAAGGCTGCAGAGGCGGCCTGGCTGCCGGGTGCGTGCTGGCTCCACGTGGGCGGGCCGTCCAACCTCTCCGAGCTGCCTTTCCCTGTGAATTGGGACTGACACCTTTGACCTCACAGGTCGTGAAGCTGTGGCTTCCAAGGTCCTCCTGACCCACCACTGGGCCACCTGCTCAGCACCCTGCCGCAGGTGCCGGGAGCCGGGAAGGGACCCTGTTGGGCTGTCACCCACTCTCCAGGAGGGTCTACCTGTTCAGGTCAAGGAGCCAGAATCATTCCCCCATTTTACCGAGAACAGCTGCGGCTGAGAGCCAAGGCGGTCACCTGAGATCTCACAGTGAGCAAGTGACAGAGCGGGGCTTAGGACCCGGTGCAGCTGATCTTAAGCACAGCCACCTCCTTCTCCACCGGGAACTCAGCTAGTAGTTATTCTAGAACCTTCAATATCTCCAGCCAGCATCTGAAGGACCGCAGAAACGGCCCTGCTGGGATCCTTGGGAGAGCAGCCGCCCCCCCGGGGGAGGGCGGGGGGAGTGAGGGGGGGGGCGCTCACCTGACATACTTCCCGTAGAGCAGGAGGAAGAAGCAGACGGTCACCATGTTCCAGCTGGTGCTGTTGTTGTAGCGCATCAGGTTCAGGGCCAGCGCCACGTGTGAGTGGCAGTTGTCACAGCAGAGATTGTGCTGGAGATGCAGAGAGGAGGGTCACGCCGGGCTGTGGGGGAAGCTCCCACCTGGTTCCCACCCCAGGAGCGGCTCACGGACCATGTGGTGCTTGTACTCCTCAGAGGCGTCGTGCACAGCTGTGTCCCACGCATTGGGCCCGCTGGCATACACCCGAGCAGGGTCCAACTTCCAGTACCTGAGGGGAGAGGGGGGTCTGGGCACTGGCTCAGCTCCACCCATGTTCCCTGGTGCCCGCTCTGTGCAGGGCCCTGAGCTGGGTATTGAAATTGCAGGGGTGAGCCAGGTCCAGGTCCGGGTGACAGTGTGGTACGCCCAGGGCCATGTGGATCCTGGGGAGGAAGGAGCCGACTCAGCTGGGGTGACACCGAGTCCAGCCCGAAGAGCAGCTGCCGGGCCCAGGACAGCGAGTGGGCACTCTCGGCAGAGGGAACAGCCTGAGCAGAGGAAGAGGCACAAACTGCGCAGCACGAAGCAGCGATGGAGGAGGGACAGGGTGAGGGGATGTTGGGAGGTGAGGCTGGAGATACAGGAAGAGCCATGTTGTAGAGGGCTTGATATCACCCTGGGGAGTTTATGCATCAGAAAGCATTCTCCCCCATCGCCCCACAAGGAGATTAGGGTGAGTGGGAGAGCAGCCAGGGAAGCTAAAGCTCATAAACCTCAAGCTGGGTGAGACCCCTGAGGGAATGCTGGAGGTCAGAGCGCCCTCTGGCTGCTCTGAGTGGAATGGCTTTGTACAGAAGTCTAGAGCAGCAGATTTTCAAGGTGTGTGTGGGGGGGGGGAGCAGGAGGGTGTGCCCCAAGAATTTTTAAAGCATGCAATGCCTGACTATTTAGTCAGGGCACTGACTTCTTTTCCCTTAAGACTGTCAAATTTAAAAAATGACAAGAGCTAACACAATAGTAGTCTGGTGTCAATGAATCACAATTATACCTTTTTTTTTTTTCCTTTGTCAGATCAGCCAAAAAAATTTTTGGGGTGTGCCACAGAATTTTAGTAATTAGTTTTTCTGTGCCAGGATATGAAAAAGGCTGAAAATTGCTGGCCCAGAGACAGGGGGGCCAGTGAGAAACCATCACTGCCTGGGCGGGGGCTGCTTAGGGGTTCCTGCCCAGAAACAGGTGCCAGGAGCTTCCCACAGCAGCCTGGCAGCAGACACCAGCTGAGAGGCCCTGGGCCACAGGTTCACCTGCCCGAGGGAGCCGCAGGCCGCCTCTGCTGGGTGAGACACCCACCGCTCCTTGGGCCTGGCCCTCCTGGGTGCAGGTTGTCTGAGCAGACAGATGACATGGGCATCATCACCAAAGCACAGGTGAGGTGGGCCCAGAGAGAGGAATTACAGCAAGCCAGCAACAGCTGCAGAGGACTCCACCTGCTTTTATTCTCTCCATCCAGAACTTTCCAGGGGAGCTCCCAACAATGCCTCCTACACGTGAAAGGGTGTGTCCGCTCCTTGATGGGCAGGAGAAAGAGTCTAGGTTTTGGAGTGAGACAGACCTGGGTGTGAGTCCCCACTCTGCCACTTCCTGTGTGATCTTGACCCAGTCTCTTCCCTTTCCTCACCCTCCCAATGGAGCTGAGAACACGACTGTGAAGAGCTGAGGCAGGGCCTGCGGGAAAGGACCCGGCCAGGGGAACCTGGCCCGAGGGCCGGTCACACGGGCGTTCAGCACTTACTTGACAGGCTTCCCAAAGGCCATGTTGTCTTCCTGTTGAGGGACAAGAGCAGAGGTCAGTGGGAACCCCATCCAGCGAGAGGACAGACCTGGGTTGGCGTGGAAGTGCAGTGACTTAGGAGGCACGTCGGTGGGCAGCTCTGGGGCCGGGTCGGTTTGTGAAGTGCCAGCAGCAGCATGTTGGTGGGAAGAAGGCAGCATGGCACAGAGCACTGCACACTGAGATCAAAGACTCGGGGTGCCAGCCACAGCTGCCCCTTGGTGTGGCTCCTAGTGAATTAATTCTCTCTCTGGGCCTCCTTTTCTTCAAGTTCTCTGGTCAATTTCTGATCGTTGATGACAGGGAGGTAGTTCCTTCCTCATATGAATGAGGACACCCTGACCTCCCGACCCAACAGCAGTGCCCAGAGAGCCTGTCTCTGCACCTGCCAGTCCGACTGTGTTCAGAGCAGGACGGGGGTGGGGGTGGGGGTGGGGGGGGTGGAGCACTCGAGAGGCCTTCCGTGAGGGAGGCATTTAGCCAGGACCTGCCACATAAGATGTGTAGGGGCAGATTCTGGCTTCTGAATCTGCTGTCAGCTGGTCAAAGATGAATTATCATAAAAGTATATGAGAGTGAAAGCAATGGCTGTGAAAGACCTTTTGGTTAAGGTGATCATAACAACCATTAATATACACAGGCTGAGGCCACCATATACCCCTTTACTTCAGCTTCTGATGAAGCTACAACCTCGAAAGAGGCAGGAACAAGCCCACTACACCCATTTTGGGCACATTCCCTGAGAACACAGCGGATTCATTGTAGGAAGCCCACCCCTTCTCCATGGCCACGCCCAGGGAACCACGGCAGCCTCCCCTGGGTCCCCACCTTGTGACTCCCACCTTCTGAAGGTCCAGAGATGTGGTTCCCGGATGGTCTGACGCCACTCTTGCCTCTAACCCCTACCCATGTCTCAGTACCCAAGGGGTGGGCAAAGGGCTGGGTCAGTTACTTAAGAGTCCTTCTGGCCACACTGCCCTCCTGGCCTGTCCTGGAGGCAAGAGAAGGGGTAAAGGCGTCAATCACCGGGGAGGAGCAGAGGGCCAGGCCCGGGCTGCGTGCTACCTGCATTCTCTCGGGTCTCAGGGAGCTAGGGAGCTGCCCGCAGGCGAGACAGGCACAACCTTCCGCTTAAGCCTTGGAACCCACCAGAGGGGGAAGAATGGGGGCTCACCGAGACAAAGTAGGGGCCAGCAAAGTCCCGAATGATTCCTGTGGATGTGCAGATGCCCATGTGGCCAATGATGGGGAAAAACCACCTGCGAGAAAGGACAGAGAAGGAGCTGAGCTTGGGGGATCTTGCAGCCGGTTAGACAGAGGCCAGGGACACCCCCTCCAGTGTGGGAACATGTGATTGTAACTTTGTGTGATCGGTGCCAAAAGGGCGGATGGAGGAGCTGGGGAAGCACAGAAGAGGGGCAAGTGCAGGTGAACAGTAAAGGGAGACCACGCCCAGAAGGGCCAGAACTGAAAGGACGGTAACACTGAGTGGGTGAGGAGGAGCAATCGAGCGCTCATGCACGATGGGGCCTGATCTCCAGCCGGGCCTAGGGACCCTGTGTGCACGAATTTCATGCACCGGGCCTCTAGTATCTCAGTAAGTAAACTGGGGTGCAGACATATAATAAAATAGGAGGCAACAATGGAAAACAATAAATTTCTGCTCCACACCACAGGTTCTCACAGATATAAGGCAGAGTGAAAGCAGCCTTACACAAAGGAACATGCTTCAAGAAAAGGCAGAAGTAATCTGGAAGTGCTGGAAGGCAAAAGAGGGGTGATCTCTGATAAAACTGACCGGTGTAAGGAAGCCCTTTGGGTATTGCAAATGTTCTCTATCTTGATCTGGATTACATAAGTATATGTATGTAGAAACTCATTGAGCCCTATAGAGATTTATAGATTTGAACATTTTATAGTATATGTTATAGCTCAATGAAAAGTTATTTTTTTTAAGGATGGAGGAGGCATTTAAACCAATCTGTGTGTGTGTGTGTGTCTGTGTGTGTACAGTTCGGGGAAGGCTTCTCTGAGGAAATGATGAAGAAACAGTATGGGCAAGAGTAAAGATTAAAGTATGGGCAAGAGTAAAGATTAGGACAACAGCATGGTGAATTCCAAGAACTAGAAGTTCAAATTTTTAAAAAAAATATATATTTTATTGATTTTGTACAGAGAGGAAGGGAGAGATAGAGAGTTAGAAACATCGATGAGAGAGAGTCATCGATCAGCTGCCTCTTACACCCCCCGCACTGGGGATATGTCCGCAACCAAGGTACATGCCCTTGACCAGAATCGAACCCGGGACCCTTCAGTCCCCAAGCCAACGCTCTATCCATTGAGCCAAACCGGTCCCTGCTAGAAGTTCAAATTCTTAAAAGTCATGAGCATTTAAAAAACCCAAATCTCCAAAACATGGATCCCAATATGCAAAACATACAGGAATTCCAGATTAGTCTGTGGTCTGAAAAGCATGGCTGTAAGGGCTGGCAGGCCCACTGGCCAAGTGCTGGTGTCAAGGCTGCACCCAGCTAGGGAGGTGGAACAAAACCTAGAGAGTTGCAGCTCGAGGAAGTGATTATGTGGGGCTGGGCAGAGTCAGGAAAGACTTCACAGATGAGGCAACTTTTAACTCTACCTGTGAAAGAACAGGGTGTCAACGGGCAGAAAGCAAAACTCTGAAGCTGCCAAGTGCTGCGTGTGTCTGGAGAGTGGGAGGGGGACAGCAGTGGAGGGAAGGGCAGTGGTGATTCAGAGGTTATTCTGAAATACTGGCAAAAGATGATGGTGACCCTGACCCCAGAATTGGTGGTGGTGAGAAGCCAATGGATTACAATACCTTTGTTTTTCAATTATTATTATTATTATTTTTTAAAATATACATTTTATTGATTTTGTACAGAGAGAAAGGGAGAGAGATAGAGAGCCAGAAATATCGATGAGAGAGTCATCGATCAGCTGCCTCTTGCACACCCCCCACTGGGGATATGCCGGCAACCAAGGTACATGCCCTTGACCGGAATCGAACCTGGGACCCTTCAGTCCCCAAGCAGACACTCTATCCATTGAGCCAAACCGGTCTCGGCTGTTTTTCAATTATTTAAAAAACACTTTTTTTTATTGATTTTTAGAGAGAAAGGGAGAGGGAGAGAGATAGAAACATCATCAATCAGCTGCTTCCTGCATAACCCTTACTGGGGACTGTGCTCACAACCTGTGCAAAAGCCCTCAGTGACCTCTTGGTTCCTGGGTTGACACTCAATCACTGAGCCACACTAGCTGGGCTAAAAGACTTTAAAAGAAAGACTGGACATTTTATCATTCTCTACAGGATACAGGTCTTCCAGGTCTGCAGTTTGAGCACCTGAGAGGATGGGGCCCGAATGTTTGTTTTTTTTTTAAATATATTTTATTGATTTTTTACAGAGAGAAAGGGAGAGAGATAGAGAGCTAGAAACATTGACCAGCTGCTTCCTGCACTGGGGATATGCCCGCAACCAATGTACATGCCCTTGACCGGAATCAAACCTGGGACCTTTCAGTCCGCAGACCAACGCTCTACCACTGAGCCAAACTGGCTTTGGCCCGAGTGTTTTTTTTGAGAACATAATTCAGATTCCATCATTCCTTTGCTTAGCACTCATTAATGGCTTCCCATTACACTTTAAACTCCTTTCAATAATTTGGCTCTACTTATCCCCTGAAGTCACCTCATGCCTCTCTCTGGCTACACTGCCCGCCTCAAGTTCCAGGGCACCAAACCCTCCCACTTCAGTGCTTATTTTGAGTTTGTTTCTGCCCAGAACACTCTTCCTCATAGCTTTGGAATACTAGATGCTTATTGCAGCTTGTCTGTAACTTCGGAGTTTTTCTTCCCTGGCCATGCCTTCTAGAACCACACACAACCCCAGGCACCCCAGATCCCATTACCCTGTTTTAATTTTTTTATGGTGCCTACTGCTTTCTAAAATGATGGCTGCTTACATGTTTACTGTCTATCTCCTCCCACGAGTGTGTGAGCTGCAAGGGAGCAGGATTTTCTCTTGTCAGAGTAGCCCCCAAGGCAATGCCAAGCATGCAGCTGGAGCTAAGTATTCATTGACTAAATTATGAATGAATGAATGAATGCCCTGCATTTAAGAGTAGAATCAGGCTCTGAAATCAGACCTAGGTTGAGTCCTGACTTGCTGCCCCCCACACATCTCCCACCGGGGATCCAGCCTGCAACCCTGATCAGGAATCAAACCTGTGACCTTCTGGTTCCTGGGTTGATGCCCAACCACTGAGCCACGCCAGCTGGATGGTTTTGTGCAAATTACTCATTCTCATCGGTGACAGGATAGTAATAATAGTTACCTCAATGAGGGGCTACTGCCAGGATTTAATAGGATTTTGTAAAGTGCTTAACACACTTCCTTGCACTTAGTAGTTGCTCAATGTTGTTATCATGACGTTTTCAATAAATACTTGCTATCTGATCAGCTAGACTGGCATAGAGTAAGCTGCTGAAGACCCATAGTGGCCACAGGATGCAGACTCAGAATTATGGGAAAGTAGTTTCGCTGGTTTCTGACCCTAGTCTCAGGACCCCTCCTGCCTGCCCTTCCCCTCAATTCCTTCCATCTAGTTGGGGAGAAGGTCTGGGAGCAGTACTCCACACCACAGCTGAGCTGACATCTGCTGATGGAAGTTAAGAATAAAGGCTAGAGACAACACCAGAACTCTGTGCCCAGGGAAGTCCCCAAACAGAAACTCAAAGTATTTGTCAGTCTGGAAGCTTCATGAAGGCAAGCTCCACAGCTGCTTCTATGCAGATCTGGTATATAACAGGTCCTCAATAACTACTGAATGAATGAGCGAATGTGGAGCTTCTATCTGGGAAGGTAGAATATCTCAATGAAAAAGCCCCAACATGATGGATGACTCTCTCTCATCGATGTTTCTAACTATCTCTCTTCCTTCCTCTCTGTACAAAATCAATAAAAATATATTTAAAAAAAAAAAAAAAAAAAAAAAAAAGCCGAGACAGGTTTAGCTCAGAGGATAGAGCGTCGGCTTAGGGACTGAAGGATCCCGGGTTCGATTCCGGTCAAGGGCATGTACCTTGGTTGGGGGCATATCCCCAGTAGGGGGTGTGCAAGAGGCAGCTGATCGATGACTCTCTCTCATCTATGTTTCTAACTATCTCTCTCCCTTCCTCTCTGTACAAAATCAATAAAAATATATTAAAAAAAAAAAAAAAAGCCCAACAGACCAACCAGCAGAGCTCAGTGGTTGAGAGTCAACCTATGAACCAGGAGATGGAGGCTCAATTCCTGGTCAGGGCACATGCCTGGGTGGCGGGCTCAGTCTCCAGTAGAGGGCATGCAGGAGGCAGCTAATCAGTGATCCTCTCTCACCATTGATGTTTCTCTCTCCCTCTCCCTTCCTCTCTGAAATCAATAAAAATATTTTTTTAAAAAAGAAAAAAAAGCCCCATGCTGGTTTCTAAGCCCTTATTTCCTTATCTAGGAAATGGGATGACAGTATCTATTTTCATTTGGTTGCTGTAAGGACTGAATGAGATTGTGAATATAAAATGTTTGGCCCAGAACAGAGTAAGTACCCAACCTTAGCTGTTTTTATTAGTAGTAGCTATTATCTGTCTTTTCATGAAGAATCATCAACTTCTCTGAGATCTTTGGATTCAGCTGCTTCTCCTCTGATCCCCCATCCTGAGGGAGATGACAGTTCCTGTGCCACATCTATTCCTAGTTCTGTGCTCTCGGTCAGCAGACAGTGTATGAAGATGGTGGTTCACCTGTCTCTCTCGCTACTGTTGGAGAGTGAGCTCTTTGGCTCAGTGGACAGAGTGCTGGCCTGGGGACCGAAGGGTCCTGGGTTCAATTCTAGTCAAGGGCACAAACCTCAGTTGCAGGCTCCTCCCTGGCCGAGGAAACCAATCGATGTGTTTCTCTCACATCGATATTTCTCTGTCTTTCCCTCTCTCTCCCACTCTCTAAAAATCAATGGAAAAATATACTCAGGTGAGAAATTAAAAAATAAACAAATAAAAAGGACATTTAATGACACAAGAAGCTCAGCTTCATCATCTGAGAAGGTATGTCCTACCTTAGGAATGTGGTTGTGAAATTCAGAGAAAAATGTGTGAGAGCGCGAGCTTGGGCAACTGTCCAGCACTGTGAGCAGCGGCTATTATCAGCTGTCAAAGGCTGATTGATGCAGGAGGGCAAACCAGTTCTCCCCAGCCAGAAGCCAAAAAAAAAGGCGGCAACACTGCCTGCCGCCTGCTTTCTCTCTGATGAAAGCGAATGCCCCAGAAAGAGCCTCTGTCTGGGAGAAAAACACCCTGGGACCCAAACACGCTTTGCAACTGAGATGGTGTGTAATCTCTGGTGTCATCGTAAGACAAAGCGTGGACTCCAGATCTCGGGGGGGCCCTAACACTGTTGACATCCCAGGGGCGGGTATGGTCCTAACAAACTCCTCCGGGCTTGGCAGGATATCTTGTGCACAGTAAAAATAAATAAATAAATAAATAAATAAATAAATAAATAAATAAATCGTGAATGTGAAGATGTGTCCTCAGGCCGAGTCAGGGCCCCTCCTGCGTACGAGCTTCCCAGCCACAGAACCCTTCGCTGGCCTACAGTCGTCTCTCCCCCTCACTATGAGGTGCAATGAGGGCGAGGAGCAGGTCCCACCGTCAGCGGGAGCTGGCACCGCTCGGTTCGGTGGGCCGGGCCCGAGTGGGAGGCTTGCTGGGCACCGGGCCGGCGGCTGGCTCCGGGCAGCCCGAGCACCCCGCGCGGACCCCGGCTCCTCTCCACGTCCCCAGGCGGACCCCGGAGAACACTCACGAGAGCACCGGGATGGGCGTCCACACCACGCAGTAGGGAAAGCGGCTCCGCTCCACGTCCATGGCGCCGCTGCCGCTGAACTGCTTCTGGTCCGTCTCGGCCGCCGTTGGCGCCTCCACTTCCGCCATCCCGGGCGGGGTTGGCTGCCGCGGCAACAGAAGATGCGAAATCCCTTCCGCTTCCGCCATGCTGTGCGCGCCCGCTTCGGCCCGCCCCTGCCGGTCGCTGACTTCCTTGTGGCGTCACTTCCGGGAGGTGGGTCCTCCCAGCTTGGCCTTCCCACCGGGAATCGGAGTCGCGTCCCTCAGGGCCTGGGCTGCCTGGGCTTCACCCCATGGCGGAGGCAGGGGATGCCCTCAGGCCGCGGGCAGTCCTGCACGGAGACCAACCCAGAACTCCACTTCAGTATGAAATATGGTAGCAACCATACTTTGGTAAAAACTGCTGTTTGAATTTTAACCCTGCTGTTCTGCCTCCTGCACCTGATTAAACACAGGATGGTTACCTCAGCTTCCAGGCGGAGACCTGGAGGCTAAGGCAGTTTTCCTGTGCCTGGGACCTGGAACTACAGAAGATTGATTCCCACTGACTCAGTAGCTTCAGGGGTAGAAACTGTAGATGACCTTTAGAGACTAACCGCTGAGCTCTGCTTCTGTACTATCTGCTTTCGCAAGATAGGGCCACATTCCAATGTCCAGCAGGATGTGCCTGGGAACCGGCCCTGCGGGCTGTTCCCAGCCTTTAGAATTCAGAATTCAGAACAAAGGAAAATTCCTGTGGTTTAGACCTTTTTTTAAATTGTATTGATTTTTTAAAGAGAGGAAGGGAAAGGGATAGAGAGTTAGAAACGTTGATGAGAGAGAATCATCAATTAGCTGCCTCCTGCACACCCCACACGGGGATGTGCCCGCAACCAATGTACATGCCCTGGACCGGGTATCGAACTTGGGACCCTTCAGTCCTCAGACCGATGTTCTATCCACTGAGCCAAACCAGTTTCAGCAGTTTAGACCTTTGAAAGGACTGCCTGCACCTGCAACGGTGCAGTCATGAGTGTGGCCACCTGCGTGTGGTGCTCTGGCGGCCATTCTGGCCAATTTTTAAGTAAATCCTTGCCTGCTTTTTTTTTTTTTAATCAATCATCAGCCTCCGGTGGTCTTATTTTGAACCCAGGGTTCGACCCCCCAAGTACACTGAGGGCTTGCCCCTAAAAGGTGTGATGCAGTCGCTATTTATTGAGCATGCCTTTGGTGGCAAGCACTTGACATATATTGCTTCTAATCCTCATGAATTGGTTAGACCTGCGAATTTAGGTATTTCTCCCAGGTTACTAGTGAGCATTTGAGGCTCAAGGGTAAGGAACACGACTCAAACCCAAGCCTGTCTCCCTTGTCCTTTTCATTCCATCATCTTGATGAGGCTGTGTGGCCTGAAGGAAGGATAGACTAAACTATTGTGTGTCGTGTGTGTTGAAGTAGAGGAGACTTGCCTGAGATATTTGAGCCGGGTCTTGGTGTTTGCCAGGTGGCACAGGGATGAGAAGAGGGTGGAGGGATCCGTGCAGCTGTGCAAAGAACGGCCTTGCAGAGCACAACGTGCGGGAGGGAGAATATCACATTGGCTGGAGTAGATCCTGAGCTTTAGGTGCGATCCGATACCTTCGTTGTACAGATGGGAAAACTGAGGCTTAGGGAAGATATCTCACAGCCATATAGAGAAACCATGCTCAGATTTTGGATTTGTTGAGCGTTTTAAAGGATGCCAAGATAGACCAAAGAATGCAGCTGTGGAAAAGGGAAACAGGAAAACAAGAAGGAAACCGCACTAAAAAACAGGCCAGAGGGAGATATGGACAAGTCTACCAAGGAAGGTGGGAGTTACGCCTTTTTGGGAAGGTCTTCTTCCCTTGAATTATCCTCCCTCAATCGTGTCCTACAGAAAGGCTGCTGCCTGTCTTGTTTTTTTAATACTAGTATTTTTTTAAAATATGTTTTTTATTCATATCAGAGGGGAAAGAAGAGGGAGTGAGAGATAGAACATCAATGATGAGAATAATTGGTCAGTTGCCTCCTGCTTGCCCCCGAGTGGGGATTGAGCCCATAACTGGGCATGTGCCCCAACCAGGAATCCTACCATCACCTCCAGGTTCACTGGTCAATGCTCAACCATTGAGCCACACCAGCTGAACACCTAAATATTTTAATGCATTCTGAGGGATATGTCTATCTGTTATGGAACTCTAAGGTCCTTGATTTCAGTAGCTAGCATAGTTCCTTGTGCAGAACAGATGCTAAATATGTGCATTGATTTATTGAATGATTGGATGTTTTGTTTTTTTTAAATATATTTTATTGATTTTTTACAGAGAGGAAGGGAGAGAAATAGAGAGCTAGAAACGTCGATGAGAGAGAAACATCGACCAGCTGCCTCTTGCACACCTCCTACCGGGGATGTGCCCGCAACCAGTGTACATGCCCTTGACCGGAATTGAACCTGGGACCTTCAGTCCGCAGACCGATGCTCTACTGCTGAGCCAAACCGGTTTCGGCTGAATGATTAGAGGTTTTTAAAGACCCTCATAGATATCACAGATGAAAATGACTTTTAACCCTCTTAAAACTCTTTGAGTATGTTTGTGCTTCTCCTGTGACCCATGTGTGGTGTGTGATCCTTGAAGGGCATCTAGCACAGGGTTTGGAATAGATCAGGCGTGCAGTGTGTATTTGTTGAATGAATAAATCACATTACACCTTAATTCAATCACTATAGCTATCTAATCTTCTAAATCACAGGCTGAGGAAGGTCTATGCCTTATACATTCCTCTACTATCATTGTCAACTCATAATTCTAGTCCTTTATTGTGTGGATAGATGAATAAACAACCTAAGAGTCTTTCTCAGGATCTGCCAAAAATTGGGTAGTAGTAACACAAGCACTAATCTGACAACCTTGTCTTCCCATTGCACTTCAAATAAACAAAAATACCTCACCATGGCTTACAAGGCCCTGCATTTGCACATGCCCTTTTCTTGTTTATCCACTACACTATGGTCATCTTGGCCTTTGTTCATTCCTCTCATGTGCCATGCTCTCTCATGCCCAGGACCTTGGCACACATCGTTCTCTGAAATGCCCCCTGCCCCCAACACTTAAACTGGCCAGCTTCCATTCATCTGAGATTAAATGTTGCTTTCTCAGAGAGACCTTTCATGTCCACCCAATCTAAATCAGACAGCCCCTCACCGAAACCAGTTTGGCTAAGTGGGTAGAGCGTCGGCCTGTGGACTGAAAGGTCCCGGGTTCGATTCCGGTCAAGGGCATGATGATGCGGGCACATCCCTGGTAGGTGGTGTGCAGGAGGCGGCTGATCGATGTTTCTAACTCTCTATTCCTCTTCCTTTCTCTGTCAAAAAAATCAATAAAATATATTTTAAAAAAGAATAAATAAATCAGACAGCCCCTGCACTCTCCCTTGCGACACCTATTCTTTTCTTCACAGCATGTTTGTAGCTGTGTATTATACTATGGGACTCCCCCACTGAGCTGGAAACTCCTTGAGGGCAGAAACTCCCTGTTCACTTCTGTAAACCCAATGCCTAGTATTGTCTTAACATATAGCATTTGCTTAATACATACTTGCCAAATTGAGTGAGTGGCAAATATTCCATTGGTGTCTACAGACAGTCTAAGGACAGGAACCTAGCTTATTACCTGCTACCTCTTGGTGCCCCAAGCTTTTTAAGGGAGTCATGGAGGTTGATGGGTACAGTGCCCTGAAGTAGGTTCTGACTAGAGAGCCCTAGCTCCCTTCCCTGTGACCTGCACCATCCTACCCTGGGCCTAGGTAGCTGCATGTGTTAGGCAGGCGCAGGAGGAGGCCAGGTACCTGGAGGTCTAGCTCCTCTGACTCCTCTGGGGCGCCTACCCCAGGCTTGTTCCCCACCAAAGCCCACCACAAGGGCCCCCCTCACACATACACATTGCCTTGTTTCTCTCACCCGCGGTAAAAACCTTCCTGGCTTGTGCCCATTCCTTCTCTGTGGCTGCCACCCCTATCACCCACAGACAGATGGGAAATCTCCATCAAAGACTGACACTTCCTCCCAGGCCCAGGATCCCAGCGGGGTCCTGGAAGAAGCTCCTGTAGCAGAGCTCAGGAAAGGATTGATAGGGCTCACAGCTCCCCCTCCCCCAACACATACAACCTAAAATAGGAATGACCATCTGGATCCACTTATAGGGCAGGCTGGGGGAGGGAATGAGGGCAGAGCTGGAACTGCCAAGCCGGGAAAGCTTGGAGGGTAAGCTGTTGCTTGTCTGAAGGGTGAACTCAGGGCACGTTCTCTCTTGGCCCCATGTACAAGTCCCTGGGGCTCACCTAACACCTCCCTCGGGCCGTCTCACTCCTCACTCTGATGGTCAAGGCCCCCCTGAATTGGCCCCTTCTTTTCCACCCTCATCTCTGTCTCCCTCGGGACTTGCTTGGCATCAGTGCACTGGGATGTCTGCCAGTCAGAGGCACTGCATACCTCTTGTCTCTGCTCACACCGTTCCTTCGGGCACAATGCCCTTCCCCTCCTCTCCCACACCGCTTTCAAGGTTTCTAGCAAATGCTTCCTCTTTGCTCCCAGAGCACGGAGGCTGTTTCCACCTATTGAATATTCATGTGTACCTGCATTAGCTGTTTACATGCCGGTCTCCCCCAAGAGACTGCGAACTTCTTGAGAAGGGAACTGACTGGATCTATCGGTTCCTGTATTCAGCACAGCATCCGGCAGATAGGAAGTGCTCAGGGAGTGACGCTGGAGCAGTTTGTTGGCCATAGATGGCCCCCTTTAAGGCTCTGGGGAAGAACCGCCTCCATCAATAACCCAGGCAAGCAGGGCTGAATCGGGGCCCATCATGGAGGAGGCTGGAGGAGCTGCTGGGCGTTCTGCAGCGTGTGTGGTGTGTGGGAGCCCGGGTGTCCTCTCTCCTGCAACCTTTCTGCTTCTGTTCCAACATTACCTTCTCTGGTTCTCCCCATGAAACCCTCGACTGTCTCCCAGGATCGCTCCAAACCCTTCCATGGTGAGGAAGGGGTCCTTTGAGAACAGACCTTCTGATGCGTTAGATATCAGAGTTTATGACTTCCTTTTCCATCCCATTTTATAGATGGACGAACATACCCAAGATTGTAGAAAGCGC